TGTTGACCAGGATGGTCTCGATCTCTTGACCTCGTGATCCACCCGCCTCGGCCTCCCAAAGTGCTGGGATTACAGGCGTGAGCCACCGCGCCCGGCCTCATCTTTCTCTTTTTTTAAGACAGAGTCTTGCTCTTGTTGCCCAGGCTGGAGTGCAATGGCACAATCTCGGCTCACTGCAACCTCTACCTCCTGGGTTCAAGAGATTCTCCTGCCTCAGTCTCCTGAGTAGCTGGATTACAGGCACCTGCTTCCACACCCCACTAATATTTGCATTTTTGGTAGAGATGAGGTTTCACCATGTTGGTCAGGCTGGTCTCGAACTCCTGACCTCATGATCCACCCACCTTAGCCTCCTAAAGTACTGGGATTACAGTTGTGAGCCACTGCTTTCGGCCTCTCTCTTTCACTTTTAAGAATTCTCTGAATCATTGGGCTCTTCAATCTGCCCAGATGATCTCCCCATCCTAAGATCCTCAACTTGGCTGGGCACAGTGGCTCACCCCTGTAATCGCAGCACTGTGGGAGGCCAAAGTGGGCAGATCATCTGAGGTCAGGACTTTGAGACCAGCCTGGGCAACATGGCGAAACCCCTTCTCTACCAAAAATACAAAAATTAATGGGGCATGGTGGTGCATGCCTGTAATCCCAGCTACTTGGGAGGCTGAGGCAGGAGAATCACTTGAACCTGGGAGGCGGAGGTTGCTGTGAACTGAGATGGTGCCACTGTGCTCCAGCCTGGGTGACAGAGCAAGAATCCATCTCAAAAAAGATCCTTAACTGAATCACATCTGCAGTCTTTTTGCCATGTGAGACAACATAGTCTCAGGTCTGAGAAGTGGAATGTAGCCATCTTTGGGAGTCCATTATTCTGCCTGTTACAATAATCACAGCAAAATTTACACTATGCTAACTAATATACTATTTATGAAATTTATGTTAATGTAAATATGTAATTTATAAAATCATATATTAACATTGCATGCTATAAACGATACACATAAAAGGATATAAAAGGATACCGATGGCCGGGCGGTGTGGCTCAAGCCTGTAATCCCAGCACTTTGGGAGGCTGAGGTGGGCAGATCACGAGGTCAAGAGATCGAGACCATCCTGGCCAACATGGTGAAACCCCATCTCTACTAAAAAATACAAAAAAATTAGCTGGGCGTGGTGGCGTGTGCCTGTAGTGCCAGCTACTTGGGAGACTGAGGCAGGAGGATTGCTTGAACCCAGGAGGTGGAGGTTGCAGTGAGCCGAGATTACACCACTGCACTCCAGCCTGGCGACAGAGCGAGAATGCATCTCAAAAAAAAGGATGCCCATAAAACATAACAACATGCCGCCAGCTCAAATAATATACACATGGCTAGGGCCAACAGCTCACACCTATAATCTCAGCACCTTTGGAGGCCAAGACAGGAGGATCATTTCAGTCCAGGAGTTGGAGACCAACCTGGGCAATACAGCAAGGCTCCGTCTCTACACAAAATAAACTGATCTGGCATGGTGGCGTGCCTGCTGTCCTGGCTACTCAAGAGGCTGAGGTGGAAGGATCACTTGAGCCCAGGAGTTCAAGGCTGCAATGCGCTATTATCATCCCACTCTGCCCAGTCTGGGTGACACAGCAAGACCCTGTCTCAAAAACATAAATAAATAAGAATATTAAAACTTTGAAAATAGAAAGATAGAAAAAAATGCAATTACTAAAAGAAAGCTGGGATAACTACACTAATATATTAAAACAACTTTAGGCCAGGTACAGTGATTCATGCCTGTAATCCCAGCACTTTGAGAGCCCTAGGCAGGTGGATCATTTGAGGTCAAGAGTTTAAGACCAGCCTGGCCAACATGGCGAAAACCCATCTCTACTAAAAATATAAAACGGGGCCGGGCATGGTGGCTCACACCTGTAATCCAAGCACTTTGGAAGCCAAGGCAGGCGGATCACCTGAGGTCGGGAGTTCAAGACCAGCCTGACCAACATGGTGAAACCCCGTCTTTTAAAAAATAAATAAATAAATAAAATAAAAATATAAAATGTAGGCGGGTGGTAGTGGTGAACGCCTGTAATCTCAGCTACTCAGGAGGCTGAGGCAGGAGAATTGCTTGAGCCTGGGAGGCAGAGGTTGCAGTGAGTGGAGATCACATCACTGTACTCCAGCCTGGGTGACAGAGCGAGACCTTGTCTCAAAAAAAAAAACAAAAAAAAAACACAAAACCACACACACACACGCGCACACACACACACAACTTTGAGCAAAAAGCATAACTGGAGAGAAAGAGAGTGATTACACAGTAATTTAAAAAATATATAGCCAGATGTGGTGGCATGTACCTGTAATGCTGGCCTGGGCAACATGACAGGGAGACCCTGTCAGAAAAAGGAGGAGGGGAAGGGAGAGGAGGGAAAATAAAGGAAAGAGGAAAGAAAAGAAAAATAAAAAGGAAGAGAAGAAAGAAAGAAGGGAGGGAGGGAGAGAAGGAAGGAAGGAAGAAAAAATATGTATATAATTACCTAGCCAGAATCCAGGTAAAGAAAAAAAAATATATACAGTAGTTTGTTTACTCCTATAAATAAAGTCAATAACCAATAATCTGTGTGTGTGCGTGTGTGTGTGTGTGTGTGTGTAAAATCAACAGAACCACACAGAAAAACAGACAATTCACAATCATAATTGTAGCTCTGATGGCACATGCAAGGCAAAAACATGGCAAAGCAATAAAAGATATGAAGAATATGATGAACAAATTTGACCTAGTGGGCAATAAGGTAGCACTGCACCCAACAAAGGCAGAAAAGCATTCACAGAACATCTTCCTAAAAAATTAATCAAATGCAGCCGGGCTCGGTGCCTCATGCCTGTAATCCCAGCACTTCAGGAGGCTGAAGCAGGCAGATAACGAGGTCAGGAGTTTGCGACTTGTCTGGCCAACATAGTAAGACCCCATCTCTACTAAAAATACAAAAACTTAGCTGGTTGTGGTGGCATGCACCTGTAATCCCAGCTGCTCAGGAGGCTGAGCCAGGAGAATCATGTGAATCCAGGAATCGGAGTTTGCAGTGAGCTGAGATCTTGCCACTGCACTCCAGCCCAGGTGACAGTTCAAGATTCCATTTCAAAAAAAAACATTAATCAAATGGTAGGGTATAACAGTAACTCAACACATTTCAACACATTGCTGCACCGGGCCAGCAATGTTTAACTTAACTGTGTTGTGGTCAAAAAACAGATTGGGTGGGTGTGGTGGCTCAAGCCTGTAATCCAAGCACTTTGAGAGTCCGAGGGGGCCTGATCGCTTGAAGCAAGGAGTTCCAGACCCGCCTGGGCCAAGAGAAGCCCCGTTTCTATAAAAAATACAAAAATTATCTGGGGGTGGTGGGCTCGTGTCTATAGTCCCAGCTACTTGGGAGGCTGAGGTGGGAGGATCACTTGGGTCCAGGACATTCAGGCTGCAATAAGCCAAAATCACACCACTGCATTCCAGCCTGAGTGACAGAGCAAGACCCTGTCTCAAACAAACAAACAAATAAATAAATAAATAAATAACACTGGAAACAAAAAGGGATAAGTAGAAAAAAATCCTATGGATTTTGAAATTATGAAACCTTGTTTTACATAATTTCTGGGTGAAGAAAAAAACGAGTTAGACAACAAATTGAAATCATAAGGAAAATACTATCTGTTCAACATGGTGAAATCCAGTCTCTACCAAAAATATAAAAATTAGCCAGGTGTGGTGGTGGGTGCCTGTAATCCCAGCTACTTGGGAGGCTGAGGCAGGAGAATCACTGGAACCTGGGAGGAGGAGGTTGCAGTGAGCTGAGACTGCACCACTGCACTCCAGCCTGGGCGACAGAGTGAGATTCTGTATTAAAAAAAAAAAAAGGCCGGGCGCGGTGGCTTACGCCTGTAATCCCAGCACTTTGGGAGGCCGAGGCGGGTGGATCACGAGGTCAAGAGATCGAGACCATCCTGGTCAACATGGTGAAACCCGGTCTCTACTAAAAATACAAAAATTCAGCTGGGCATGGTGGTGCGTGCCTGTAATCCCAGCTACTCATGAGTCTGAGGCAGGAGAATTGCCTGAACCCAGGAGGT